CATCCATGAAGAAAGCAAGAGGTCATTAACAAGACAGAAAAGGAAGAAAAGACCAAAATGGATGTCAGAAGAGACTCTGAAACTTGCTTTTGAATGGAGAGTAGCTAAAGCAAATGGAAGAAAGGACAGGATAAAAGAGCTAATCAGAAGATTTCAAAGAGCAGCTTGAGAAGACAGAGTCAATTATTATAGTGAAATGTGCAAAGCCATGGAGTTGGAAAGCCAAAAGGGAAGAACATGCTCTGCATTTCTCAAGCCAAAAGAACTGAAGAGGAAATTTAAGCCTCGAGTTGCAATATTGAAAGATTCTATGGGCAATATATTGAATGATGCAGGAAACATCAAAAGAAGATGGAAGGAATACACAGAGTCACTGTACCAAAAATAATTAGTTGATGTTCATCCATTTCAGGTGGTTGCATATGATCGAGAACCAATGGTATTGAAGGAAGAAATCAAAACTGCACTCAGGGAAGTGGTGAAAAACAAGGGAATTGATGGGCTATTCGTTAAGATGTTTCAACAAACAGACTTTGCATTAGAGACATTCAGTCGGCTATGCGATGAGAATTGGAAGACAACTACTTGGCCAACTGACTGGAAAAGATCCATTTTTGTACCCATTCCAAAGGAAGGTGATCCCACACATGTGGAAATTATTGAACAGTATCATTAGTATCACATGCAAGTAAAATCTTACTGAAGATAATTCAAAAACAGTTGCAGCAGTATATTGACAGAGAACTTCCAGAAATGCAAGTTGGATTCAGAAGAGGACGTGGAACGAGGGATATCATTGCTGATGTCAGGTGGGTCCTGGCTGAAAGCAAAGAATACCAGAAAGATGTTAACTTGTGTTTTATTGACTATGCAAAAGCATTCAGTTGTGTGGATCATAACAAATTATGGATAACATTGAGAAGAATGGGAATTCCAGAATACTTAATTGTGCTTGTGGGGAACTTGTACATAGACCAGGAGGCTGTTGTTTGAACAGAACAAGGAGGCATTGCATGGTTTAAAATCAGGAAGGGAGTGTGTCAGAATTGTGCCCTTTCACCATACTTATTCAATCTGTATGCTGAACAAATAACCCGAGAAGCTGGATTATATGAAGAAGAATGTGGCATCAGGATTGGAGGAACACTCATTAACAACCTGCGTTACGCAGACGACACAACTTCACTCGCTGAAAGTGAGGATGACTTGAAACACTTACTGATGAAGATTGAAGATGACAGTCTGCAGGATGGATTACACCTCAATATAAAGAAAATGAAAATCCTCACAATGGGACCAGTGAGCAGCATCATGGTAAATGGAGAAAAGATTGAAGTTGTCAAAGACTTCATATTACTTGGTTCTACAGTCAACACCAGTGGAAGCAGCAGTCAGAACACTAGACGACATACAGCATTGGGCAAATCTGCTGCAAAGGACCTCTTTCAAGTGCTAAAGAGCAAAAATATTTCCTTGAAGACTAAGGTGCGCTTGACACAAGCCATGGTATTTTCAGTTGCCTCCTATGCATGTGATGAAAAAGGAAGACTGAAGAAGACTTAATGCTTTTGAGTTGTGGTGCTGGCGGAGAATGCTGAAAGTACCATGGACTGCTAAAAGAACTAACGAATCTTTCCTAGATGTGCAGCCGGAATGCTCCTTGGAAGTGAGAATGGCCAGACTTCATCTCACCTACTTTGGTCATGTTGTCAGAAGGGTCTATTCCCTGGAGAAGGATGTCATGCTTGGCAAAGTGGAGGGACAACAAAGAAGAGAAGGCCCTGAACAAGATGGATTGATGCAGTGCTGCAGTGATGGGCTCAGGTAGCAAAGATCATGGGGCTGGCACAGAACTGGGCAATGTTTCTTTCTGCTGTACATGAGGTCGCTATGAGTCGGAGGTGACTCGACTGCACTGAACAGCAGCAATAGGATAATGATTTGGTTCCTTAATGTTTGTAATAATAGTCCTCTTGCTTATTCCAAATATTGATGGAGAACTAGATGTTTATTATTTGCAAAGATGAAGTCCTGTCCCTCCCCTGCTCCTGACTGCCACACACTGCAGCACTACACAGCTTCTAGGTGTGGCAACGACAGGTGGGGGCACTGCTTTCATGACATGCATGCCAAGCTTTCAGAATAGCCCGGCAGATGGTACCCTGTCACCTGTATGAAGGCAGTTTCCACCAAGAAATTCAAATGCATCAGTTGTAATGATCTCCCTGTGAATCCCACAATAACAGTTTGTCCTTTGGTTTTTAAAAACTCTGCTGTGATAGGGGAGTGGGTAGAATACAGTTGTTGCAGAGTCATCGTAAGTTCCCTAAAGGGGCTTTAGTTTGTAGAAGGGAAAAACCCAGGCAGCTGGTCCTATCAAAACACTTCTTTCTGTGGTCATGGATTTTGTTAGGAATTGAGGAGAGGTTTTTGATTATTTTAAGATGGTTTTATAGTCAGAAAGGAACTCTGGTGGCTTAGTGCCTAAGGGACTTGACTGCTAATGAGAAGGTTGGTGGTTCAAATCCACCAGTCTCTCTGCGGAAGGAAGATGGGGCAACCTATTTCTGTAAAGATTTACCGCCTTGGAAACCCAGTGGGGGTCGTTGTGAGTTGGAATTGACTCCATGGCAGTGGGTTTGGTTGTTGTTGTTATTGTTAATGGATATCCAGACTGCTTAAAGCCTGTCCCAAACCAAAAAGGTTCTGTGCCCTGTGGAGTTCCTGATCTACCTCTAGAAAACAGTGGCCAACACGAAGACGAAGCCCTGTTGCTCTTTTCCTGCTGGTCCTCCTAAAGATCTTCGGGAGGCTGGCTTCAGGCGGACGGCCCATTCTTGGTACCTGTAGGACCAGTCTTACCATCAGCAATGGTGCGGACATGAGAAGAACAATGCAGCTTGAGCTGTTAATTGAATGTTCCCTACCCATTCGTGAGGGTCTTGGAATCTGACCCAGTGAGCTGAGCATTTCTCTTCCCCTTGAGGGGAATGTGAGGAGCTCTGGTGGTAGAGTGGTTAAAGCCTTTGGCTGCTAATCGAAAGGTCGATGGTTTGAACCCACCAGCTGCTCTGCAGGAGAAAAATGAGGCAGTCGTCTTCTGTAAAGATTTACAGCTTTGGAAACCCTACATGACAGTTCTCCTATGCTCTGTAGGGTCACTGTGAGTCAAAATGGACTCAGTGGCAGTGGGTTTGGTTTGGTTTAAGAGGACTGTGAAGGACCTCTGGTGGTGCAGTGGCTAAGGTTAGTCAGTTGCTAACCAAAAGGTCAGTGATTTGAACCCACCAGCTGCTCTGCAGGAGGAAGATATGGCATTCTGCTTTTGTAAAGATTTACTGCCTTGGACACCCTGTGGGACAATTCTACCCTGTCTTCTAGGGTTGCTGTAAGTCAGAATCAACTCTATGGCAGTGGTTTTTTTTTTTTTTTAAAGAGGAATCAGGAACATTCACTGTGTTAGGGGCCTGTCGAACTCTGTTATCTTTTGAGGAGCCAAAGTATCATGTCATTTTTAGCCAAGAAGAACCCAAAGGATCAAGGCATGGATGTGTGAGTGAGCTGGACAGGAGAATGCCCATCTCCCTTGCAGAAGTGTGAAATGCAGTAAAGTAGATGAGAGGCTGATCTCCTGAGTTTCCACATTTTTGCTATAAAATGGCTACCACACTGCTTTTAGGATTGTGATGAGGCCTCAAGGAGACGTGGGCATTAAAGAACCATGCTCAGGGCCTGGCGCCTGGTTGTTTGGGCCCTTCTGACTTGTTCCCCATCCTTGCAGAGATAGGTGACTTTCAAGTGGACTCTTGCTGCCCAGGTGACCCACCTGGTTGAGCAGAGAGAGTATCTAGACAGCAATTCCAGGTGGCCTGTGACTTTGTAGGAGGGAACCACAAAACAAAGCAAATGTGCAAGTCTCAGTGATCTTTTCCTCCGCTCTGTGGTGTTGGAGAACTTTTCCTTTTAGGAGTAGTTTTGAAAATTGTATGTGTGGGTGCAGTTTAATTATAGTCTCATTTTCAAGTACAGCTATAGAAGGGTTTGTTTTTTCTCTAGCCATGCGTTAGCTTCTTCAAAGAGCTCATCCCAGTCTGCAATTTCCAGAGTTCTGAAGTATTTTTAAAATAAAGTTGTTAGTCCCTTTGAAATCCGGGCTCATGTGCTTCCTTTCAGATGGCACACGATGACACGCAGGAAGAGAGTAGAACATTTTTTGCTCAACAACATTTCAAGCTTTATTTTGTTTTCTTTTGTCATTTCTTTTAGTCATTCCCCCTGCTGCAGTGGCTTTTTCATCTACACTAATACACTCCTTTCCCTAGTAATCCCACTTCTGGGAATCTTTCCTACAGAAATAATTTAAATGCAGATAAAGCTGTATGCAGAAAGATGTTTATTTGATTTATTTATAAATGTGAAAATTTGGAGATGGCATAATTGTCAAGTAGGGAACTGACTGAAAACTGATGCCTACAGTGGAGTATTAATGCAACCATATAAATGATGTTTTTAAAGCAAATGTAGTAAGTGAAATGCTTAAAGTTCTAAGTGAAGAAAATTAAGTCACAATACAGTATCACCTGTGCCAAAAGGCGTGGAAAAAGCAGTGGAAGAAAATCTGGTGATCTGAGTGGTGAGCACCTGGAGGATGGCACTCCTGTCCTGATCCTGTTACCCATTTCCTGCAGTGAGCAGGGATTCTGTTCGTATCAGAGTTACAGGGAAGGAAGAGGAAACTACCCAGCAATGCCTTTGTGACTCTTTTTAGACTCAGTGATGTCCCCTCCCTACTAGAACTCATGCCAGAGCAGTGATAAAGGAGCAGTTTATAGTCAGAACTGTATTCTTGGCAAATCCTATTTTAAATACCCGGGATTGGTATAAAGAGTGTTTAAACAAATAGAATAGAACTTCTGCAAATGTATGAGCAAGAAATTACAAGGGAACCCTCTTTCTAAAAAAGTGTTTTTCTCCTTTCTCGATGTTGCCTCTGCCTCTAGGAAAATCGGCTGAAGTGGGAGTGAGCACGCAGAGTGAACTGATGGACAGGTGAGTGCATAGCTGTTGGAGAGGAGACTTTTTGGGCCACGGTGGGTTTGGTTTATCTGCCAGTTTTTTTTTTTTTTTTTTTTTTTTTTGAGTATTTTGTCTCCCTCCCATTCTGTTAGCTTCCTGCTTCTTGTAAATAAGGCACAAATACCAGTGGCATCGACAGTGGCCGTGCAAACCCGAGAGCCCGTGCTTGTCTGTCCTGCAGCCTTCCTCATTCTTTTGTTTCAGATTATTTGTGACATTTCTCTGTCAGATGATTTGACCCAAATGATGGTTTCCTTCTGTTGGCCTGTGAGTGCCTATGGGATGAATCCTAGACCCCTAAGCCCAGCATTGTAAGCCCTCCTTAGGGCCTCAGACCATCCCTTCCTTCCCATCACGTTAAGCCTCATTGGACTTTTTTTTTTTTTTTTTTTTTGCAATCTGTCTACTTTAAAGCTCCTGGTGTAAGTGCTCTGCCAAGTCCAGCATGAGCAAGCACATGGCCCTGAGCTCCTGGGGGTATGTGAGGACTAGAGAGTGCTCTAACATAGGTGCAGTGGCTTCTTGGTCATGTCATATCTGCAACACCCAGCACAGGCCTGGCACCAAGGAGGCAGGTTTGTGAGATGAAGGAATAAATTCTAGGCCAGATAATAATTCTAGGCTAGAAACAGAATGTGTGAGGAAAACTTTTAAAATAGAAATATATCAGCCCACAGGAGAGAACATTGGAAGAAGGTGTTTATAGCCCTCATTTGCTAATTTCCATGGTGTAAATATTCCTACCATGGCTGATATTAAACTACCAGCTTGCACACAGTCAACTCAGAGAGCCAGTTCAGTATTACCTGGACAATAAATATTTCAACACTGAAGCACACATTATTTTTCTATTTTTAGTATATACCTCTTCAGCCTCTCTGACCACTTTGCACCTGAAGCTCTGTAATCTCTTTCGCCTCTGGTCTTTTCCCGATTCTAAACTTCTATGTCCTTTAAGACTCACTGCAGGAAATATCTTCTTTGAAAGAAGCCAGCTTTCGACTATACCAGCTGGATTGTGTGCCTCCCTTTGCATTTCCACAATCTCTTTTTTTAAAGTTGTGATTTGGGTGGAAGTTTACAGAGCAAATTCGCTTTCCATACAGCAGTTCACACACAGGTTGTCTCATGACATTGAATTGACTACAATTTATCCCAGTGCAACAGCTCCTCTCCCACTTTCTCCCAATAGTTACCTCTTTCCTGTGTCCGTCCCTCCATGCACTCCTGCCCCCTGAGCTGTCTCCCTGTGCATGAACAGCCCTTCTTTCTCCCATGATTGTTCTCTCCAAGGAGTGTATCTACCTCAGGTAAATGTTCACCTCATAAGCCTGTCTTTTGTTTGGCTGGAAGCCACAGGTGTGGGTTCAATTCCACACCTGAAGGGCAGCTAGGGGCCATAGTGTCAGTGGTTCCGCCAGGCTCTATCAGACCAGCAAACCTGGCTCCCCACTCCCTTTTTTTTTCCCAAATGATTTTGAGTTTTGATTTACATAGATCCCCCTCTGAGTGGCTGACAGTGGTAGCTGGGCACCATCTAGTTCTTCTGGTCTCATGGTCATATAGGCTGCGGATTGTGTGGTGTGCCAGTCACTGGGACTAATTGTTTCCATGAATCTTTGGTTTTCTTCATTCTTCTTTGCTCTAGATGAGGAGAGACCCATCGTTGGCTGCTAGGTGGCTGCTTGCAAGCTTTTAAGACCCCAGTTGCTACACATCAAAGTAGGAGGTGGAACAATGTTTTGTATAGTGTGTTATGCCAATTGAGCTTGATGTCCCCTGCAACCATGGAGAACTATTGTTCTTCAGACCTGTCCTGCTCTTTCTGACTATGCCCGTGCATGAGCTGGGCATTCTACCTTCTTCTTCTTTGTAGTTGAAAACTGTTCTGCAGGACCAGTTCACATGGAAATGAACTTGCTTTTCTCCAGCACCCCTATCTGTGCACCACACCCCAGGATCAATTATCCTTGCTGTAGCACTTGGCAAGTAACTCATTACAACACTTACCATATGGTATTATATTACTTTGAGTGTTTGTCCTTCCAATCCCATAGTTCCTCAAGGGAGCGGAAGGGAGCTAGCACGGACTGGGTGTTGCTGTGTGTCAGCCACTGCCCTAGGTGTTCACGTGCATTATTTACAGTCTTGCAGGGCAAGCGTTACTATCCTCATGTGAAGGTGAGCAGCCTGGGGACCAAAAAGTTGCATGTTGGCCATTAAGGGGTAGAGTTGGGCGTTGTATTTTAATCTGTTGGACTCCAGCACCTGTGTTCCTATTGTTATTCCACATTTCCTTTGGCATACAAAGACTGGGGCTTGACTCTGCTCATTGTAGCCACAAGTGTCTGGCATATAGTTGAGTTCAGAAAATGTTCATGGAATAAAAAACTTGTGTCCTTTCTCAGCTTGCTTCTTTGGCCAGTTGAAAATGTCAGCGTCTTGCCCTCTTCTGTTTACTTGTTGAGAGTACTGAATGCCACTAGTGCTATTGACTACTTCCCTTCTCTTAGAAGCTGTGGACTTTGGGGCTCCTAGGAGCCAATATGAAGCAATAGAGCCAACCTGGGGTGCAGAATTTTAGATTTTATTGACATCATGAAGGCCACCAGCATTGTTAGAGAGAGCAGGCAAGGAGGTATCATAAGCTGAGCTCACTGGAGGATAGTTCAGTCAGGGTCTCTATACGTTTAGAAGAAACCCTCCCCTCCCACTGTGGTGCTTTCACAGTCAGCTCCCAGTGCAGTCCTCCACGTTCATCCCCATAATAACAGCTCACATTCTATTGTCAGGCTATAGAGAATAGGGAAGTCTTCCCAGATGGCGAGCAGTCTTAGCTGAGGTCCAAAGGATGAGAGCCAGAGGGGACAAGGCTTGGTAAGAGTGTCCATGCTTGAGGGGAGGGAGTCATGGCTCCTTTGGAGGCCAGCAGACTTTTGGCGTGAATGGTTCATAAATGTGAGGATCTTAGCTAGAGAGACATGTTAGGACTACATTGGGATGGTCTGCAAATGCTGTGACAGGAGTTCAAGCTATTCTGTTGGAACAGGGGAGTCTGAAGGCAGTCTGGCTGGGGCTGGACATGATCAGATTTGCCATTTTATAGACTGCCGTGGTTCTTGTGGAGAATGGGTTGGAAGTCGCAGAGAGCCTCTTTTGTTGTTGGTATGTGCTGTTGAGTCGGACCTGACTCATAGCGACCCCTCCTTGGGTTTCCGAGGCAGTATCGCTATGGAAGTAGATTGCCCCATCTTCCTTCTGAGGAGTGGCTGGTAGGTTAGAACCGCCAGCCTTCTGATTAGCAGTCAAATGCCTTAGGCACTACGCCACCAGAGCTTCCAAGACCTTCTCAACTGGTGTGCCACCCATTCCCGTTGCTCACAGATGTGTTTATTTTCCCTCTGTTCTACGTTTTTCAGCTGTAGGCGTAGCACTCACACGGGTCATGCCTAAGCTAATTAAATGAGTGCCCTTGGCCCATTGTGCACTTTTGCAAGCCAGCAGCACGCCTGCGCATCCATCACACTATCTCAGCGAAGTTGCATCTGGTGTTTACTTGTTAATGAATGCATTGCAGCTTTGGAGTCCTTTGCTCTCGTCTGAGCTCATGAATAATGAGACTGTGGCCACTGACAAGAAGAAAAAGTAGGAGAGAAAAGAGCTTAAATTAAGGAGCTTATCTATAATGGAGATTCACGTGGGCTTTTCAGAGAGTTCAGGTTGTTTTTTCATGTGGTTTAGGTGGCCTTGGGAAATACAGGTTAATAACCAGATGACTGCCAGAATAATGAGATTGAGGCCTACCTGGGGACCATGAAAGTTTTGAGATTTTTAAACCCACAAGACCACTTCATGGGTTCAGGCTGCACCTGCCCCATTTTTTGGGGGCCTTGGAGGCTGACAGACATAGGTTCGCATCTCAGTTCTGCTGCTTACAAGCTCTGAGACAGTGGGTCAGTTTATGACGAGCTTCAGTGTCTCCAACTCTAAATAAGGGCAGTAATTGCTACCTCGAAGGGTGGCTGTGAGGGCCAGGTAAGATAATGCATCTGAAATGCCTGATGCAGAGCAGGCATTGGGTAAACAGCTGCCGTTGACCTATGACCTGTCTTGGACTCACTTCCCTACCAGCCAGATTGTGGAATGGGCATAATCCCCTCATTGTCCTTCATTGGCTCCAGAGTCAAGCCCACTTAGGCCCTTCTTGTTTTTAGAACTTCTCACTAATTGCTTTAGGGAAACAAAACAGCTGACTGAAAGTGCAAATATGGAGAAATTGTAAAGACCAAAGTAATTTTAAGTGTTTCTAAATCTTGGTCCTGGCTTGGGATTTGGGCATGGGAAATCACTGATCTTTTAATCTTGACAATTAAGGGTTGAGGAAGACAACGTAACCTACCAGCGTATTCTACCCGAATCTCCTGAGCCTTCAGCCTATCACGCATTGTCTGATTGTGAAATGTCTGAAAAGTCCTCCTTCTTTTCACGAGACCAGAAGCAAGATAGCGAGATTGAGAAGATTTCGGTCACAGCTAACAAGTTTTCTCAAGGTAAGCTAAGTTTTACTAAGCATTTTGAATATGTCCTAGTGTCCTTTCTCTCCCCGCCTTTTTTTTTCTTCAAGTAATGACAAACTTGTTTGACTGGAATGCTTATAGAGTTCACTGAGGGTTAATCTGAAAAAGGCTATTTTAACCCTTGCAAATATTTCTTAAACAGTAATTTGCTTCTTGCCTTAGTAGCCAGAGTGTGGTGACATTTGAATGTTTCTCTGATGAAAGGAGATTCCGTAAGGGTCAAAGCTGGTCATTCCTTATATCATTTATCACTAGAGATAGCTATGGTTGGAGAAAGTGTAGGTGATTAGGGAAAAGTCAATTTTCTATTTTAAATGATGACTTAATATATGACTTGCCATTTACTTGCTCTTCTGACAGTGGCAGGCTGGAAAGCACTGAAATTACATGTCAGTTCCAAGTCTGGTTAATTTCCTATTGTCTTTTACCAAATTCATCCTAAGGCAGGGTCACTTTGAAGACTCTTCTGCTTTGAGTCATACAGATGCCCAAGAGTACCTAACTCCAACTTTCAGCCAAACAATAGATAGGCCTATGAAATAATAATAACACCAGGGAGGAATATACTGCTTGCAGCAATCAACCATATAGGACCAAAAGGGCAGCATTTGTCCAAAATCAAAGCTCAGAAGGCAGGAAGGGGCAAGAAAGAAGGATGAACAGAAACGGAAAACCCAGGAAGTGTGAAGAGAACTGTTATACTGAGGGGATTGTAACTGATGTCATGAAACAAAATGTATATGAATTGTTGGATGGAAAACTAATTTGCTCTGTAAATTTTCACCCAAATCCCAATAAGATGTTTTTTATACACACACACACACACACACATACACACACACAACCTAACTCCCTGTTGCGATATTTTGTGGTTCTGTAAATCTGCTCTGTTTCCCTTTAATGTGACCCTTGGCCCGTTGGGTCAGCCCTTTGACCTGCCTCTCACCATGGAGCTGTGGGCTCACTTGTCAGAGTCAGCCTCCCAAGACCTCACCTGCCTCTACACTCCCCTTTCCCTTTGCTATACTGCAGTCTTGATTACCTTCTCCTGGAGTAATAGGTAGGACTTAGTGTTTGTAATTGTATTTCAGAGGTTCAAAGGACTGTATGAGCCAGAGATTGGCAAACTTTTCCTGTAAAGGCTCAGGTAGTAAATAGTCTAGGTTTGTGGGCCATATGGTTTCTTTCACAACTATTCAACCCTGCCATTGTCGCATGAAAGCAGCAATAGACAATATGTAAATAAGTGAATGTTGCTGTGTTCTAATAACACTTTCTTTACAAAAAGAGGTGGTGGGTTAGATTTGGCCCACAGCTGTAGTTTTCTGATCCCTGGTCACACCTTAGCTGATAGTCTCTGGTCCCTTCGTCCAGTGGGTTGTTGGGAAGACTAGCTTTGTACAACACAGATTGTACCAGGCACCTCTTTGTACAGCACAGGTTGTACCAGGCACCTCTTTGATTAAAGCTCTTCATTGACATCTGATCACATACATAGATCATTGGGTTTCAGAGAAACTATTTCTTTTTGACAATAGAACCACCCCCCCCTCTTTTTTTTTAAAGAAGAAATTTTATAGTGGGACCCAACATGTCAAAGAGATATGAGCAGAGCCTTTGTCCCCAGTGTTGCCCTCCTAGGGCCCAGAGGAGCACAGTTTGCAAATATGCCTGGGGCATAAAGTACACATTATTGCCATAACTCAGATATCATCTGCAGTCTTTCAGTGGCCAGTCACCTGGACCTGATTTCCAGCTGTATCCCTGTGATTTCTGAGTACCTTTTTTTTTTTTTTTTCTCACTCTGTGTTCTGCTTTCTCCTTCGTTAGACCAGACCATGAATTACTTCCCTGTCCCTGGTGCCATCTCTGTTCTCCATTGTGTCACTCGGACATGTAACCCAGTCCCTTTCCAAGACTTTCCCCATGGACCACTCCTATAAGGTCTTTGTGTGTATAACAGACTTAACTGAAGGTTTGAGGAACTAGAAGAAGTGGGAATACAATGCAGCAACCCAAATAATTTAAATTGAGATATTAGTGATCCCTAAACTTTCAGAAAGAGAGCTCTGGTGGTACCACGTTTAAAGCACTTTTCTGCCACCCAAAATGTTGGCAGTGTAAACCCTCCAGCCACTCTGCTGGAGAAAGATGTGACAGTCTGCTTCCATAAAGATTCACATCCTTGGAAACCCTATGGGGGTCGTTCTGCTCTGTCTTAGCGGGTTGCTGTGAGTCAGTCAACTCAGCAGCAGCAGGTTTGACTTGGTGGGACTCTTCCAGGGCTCCTGCTCTGGTCCTGCCCCATTCCCTGTCCTTCCCCTTGCCTCCCCTCGTCTTTCCACTCTGCTCTCCTCGGTCACTCCGGTCTCAGCTCCTTTAGAACTTTCTAGTCATCTCTTGTTTCTTATTCCTTTGGAGACCCATGACCTTGGACTCATCATGCCCTTCTAGTGGGTTACCAAGGCACGTTCCTAAATGAGGACAGTGCTTTGGTTAGATGGAATTCTGGAATCATCCTAATACACCCCTATTAGGGTTTTTGGTTTGTTTGTCTTTCTTCTTTCAGTCTCTGTATTTTCCTCTTGTCATGTCAGAATAGAGGAATAGAGGAATCTTGTAATACAGTACTTTTCCCTTTTTTCACTTAACATGTCATGTGCTTTCTGACATGTTGTTACATGCCATCATTCTTAATGACTTTAGAATAGTCCGTTGGCTATTCTATGGCTAAACTGCAGTTTTCCTTATGTTCCTCTGTTGTTGAACATGTAAGTCATTTCCAGAATTTCACACTTGTAAACAATGCTGCAGGAAAGGTCTTTGAACACAAAGTTTTCCCCTTATTTTGAGGGAGTTTCTTAACATAGACTATAAATTGGAACTGCTAGGCGCTTTTTTGGTGGTGGTTCTCTATAGGACTTGTGGTTTTAAAGAGTTAGAATTTGTTAGAGGGTATTATTGTAAGAAGGACAGATATTTTCCTCTCATTTTGTAAAGGCTGGTATAGTATGTCCTCCTTCTTGTTTATGGCTGCATAATTTAACAAGTGGTGTCCAGTTCACCTGGGATCGTGTCCTGAAACCCAGGTGATGATTCCAGCTCCTGGCCGAAGACTCAGTGGACGATGACTTGTATCGACGGCTGCTATGCATTTATTCCTAAAAGCCAGCAGGGTATGGCTTGGATAAACCAGTCAGGAAAGTTGCGGTTAAAACCGATTAGTCCCTGACTCACATCGACTTGGAGAGCCGCTGGAAGAAGGTTTGCAGGACAGCAAGCAGGCACGGGGAGGGGCAATACCGGGATATGCCAAGAGTTTATCGCAGATGGAGTCTTTCAGGGCTGTGCTGCAGTGAGATCCTCAGACATTCCACCAAATGACTTGCTACCCTCCTGGCATTAATAGGAGATAACGGAAGGTTTGGAAATTAAGTCATCTCATAAACATTCACATTCATGGCAAAATTACTATTTAATTAGGAAAAGATCTGTAACATTGTGCTACTTTTAAATGAAAGTCATTTTGGAGGGATTAAAACTGGGTCATAACATTAGTGTAATGTTTTAAAACAAACATTACTAAGACATACTGAGTGTACCCTAATTGATGAATTAAAGACATTAGTTTTGTCTTTGGATCCTTAATGTGATTATGCTTTGAACACTGACTCTAGAAACCTACCTCTAGATTGGAAATTTGCTTCCTTTGTTAAAGAGAAATGTGGTGGGGGCTGAAAATATCATGCCCTTCTAGTGGGTTACTCATTTTAGAAAATTTGTTTTAATAGATTCTTAAATATATATGATATATGCTCATTTTAGAAAATTAATATGCAATATAGTTTTTTTTTTCCAAATCTGAAATCTGAAACCCAAAAGCTGTTAATCTTTTGGTCTATTTCCTTCGTATGTGAGTGTGCATGCGTGTGTCTTTGTGTCTTTCTTGTCTCTGCACAATTTTAAATAAGAGTTATGATTATACCAAATAACGAATTTTGTGTCTATTTTAAAATGTAACCTTATAACGTGATCATTTTTTCCATGACATTACATATTCTTTATAACGTAATTCCCATGGCTGTGTAATACTGCGCCATAATGGATGTACTATAATTTATTTAGCAATTGGAGTGATTTTCCATCTTCACTCTTAGATATGAAGCTAAGATGGACATTCTCATGCTCTGAGGTCAGTGGTTGTCAGTGTGTCTGGTGATCGTTCATGTCGATTCCTCGAAGTAGAGTTATTTGGTGAAGCGCGCCGGGAAGAACCTTTTCAAGGCTCATTATGAAAATAGTCCTCAAAATCACACACATTATACTTAACTAATGGGGTGGACTCTTAAGGGTACTCTTCTTCCATTCTCACTAGCATTGGGATGATTGTTTTGGTTTTTATAAATTTTCGATCAGTAAGTGATAAATGCGTACCATATTCTTTGCAAAGAATTAGTCTTGTAAAGATCTGGACTCATTATGGAAGTGGTTTAATCAACTCTCAGGCAGTTCAGGCAGACTTGAAAGTGATCTGTTAGTTTCACCATAAGGAGGGCTTTGAATTAATATTTGATATTTAGAAGAATAAAAGGCTACATTAGAGTTAACATTAAAATTGCATTGAATATAATTTTTCCATGTGATGTAAAATATCTTCCTCATGGAGGGCTGCAGAGAATCATTACAGAACAGTGGCTGTGGGCGGAGGGAAACTCAGTCCCCATGCCTAGGAAAGAATTGCCGGTTGCTGATTATCCTAATACACGGCAATACTGTTTGGAATTTCAAGCTCACTGCACAATCTATAAATTATTCAATTTGTTGGGGGCTTCAGACGTTAAATTAAAAATACCCTTCCTTTCTGTAGACTTGCTAATGGAACACATACAAGAAATTCGAACTTTGAGAAAACGTTTAGAAGAATCTATTAAAACAAATGAGAAGCTGCGGAAGCAACTGGAACGGCAAGGGTCCGATTTTGATCAAGGTAAGGAAGGCTCTGCCAACAGGGAGGTGCAAGCCTGTGAGGCTTTGTTTGTAAAGCATTTGCCTGGATAAGCAGTCTGTGTGTTAGAAATAGCATTGGACTTGTGGCCAGGGAGACCTCAGTTGCATCCTGGCTTTGCTGCTTACCTCCTGTATGACTTTGGGCAAATCATTTACAGTAATTTATCTATAAAACAAGGATAATAGTTCTCATTTTCTCCGATCGTGGTGAGAATTAAGTGAACTAACTTACATAGAGTGCCCCACAGTTCCTGGTACAATGAAGATAGCTGATCAATTTTAATCATTCAGTCCTGGGAGAAGTCTGCCAGTCTCTGGCATCTTGAATTGTGGTTGCCAGTCCTCATCTGACTTTGGAAGCTGCAGAGAAATAGATAAGTATTTTGAAATAAAACCAAGCAATATTTTGTCTTTTCATCAATAAAGGGTTATAAACGTTGAGTTGATATCACTTGCCAGTAAAAGATCACTGACATTCCTGGATAAGTATCATTAACTCTGAATGAGGTGTTTTTTCATGAAGAACTTATACATTTTTCCCCCCATAGGTAACACATTCACATGATTCAAAAATTAAAATGATATAAAATGGACGGCATCAAGAAGTCACCATCATTCTTTACCTGTTAACCCTGTTTTTCCTCCCCTCCTCTCACTTTTGTTAGTTTTCTTGTGTATCCTAGCCTTACAGTGGTTCTTTATGCAGCTACAAGTACATATTGTTACTCTCCTCCTTCCTTACCCAAAAGGTTGTCGTTGTTGTTGTTATGTGCCGTCGAGTCAGACCCGACTCATAGTGACCCCTCCTTGGGTTTCCAAGGCAGTATCACTACGGAAGTAGATTGCCCCATCTTCCTTCCGAGGATTGGCTGGTGCGTTTGAACTGCTAGCCTTCTGGTTAGCAGTCAAGTGCCTTAGACACTACGCTACCAGAGCTCCCACCCAAAAGATAGCATACCCCATATCTACTATTCTATACCTTTTTTCACTGAATGGTATGTCCTGTACCTCTTCCTTAGTGTCCTCATTCCATGAAGAACGCACCCTGAGAGCAGCTTGGTGCAGTAGGAAAAGCCTGAGTTTGCTTGGAAGTGGCTTCTGCCTCTTCCATTTATTAGGTTTGTGACTTTGGGCAAGTCACTCCCACCTTTCCAGGTCTTAGTTTCTCCCATAAAACAGGAGCATTGTGAGATTAAATGAGGCACTATAAAGAATGGCACATAGCTCAGTGCCTGCTCAATAAATGGGAGCATTCATGATCATTATCAGTTTTATGTTACCATTTTATTTTTGTATGACATCAGTTTAATATTATAAACTCTGGAATGGGCAGGGGATCTAATGTTAATCCCATTTGTAGAGGTGAGATAACTGATTGTAGAAAGATGAAGTAACTCCCCTTGGGGGCCACCCAGTGATAATAGCACTTGAGTCCTTGAACCCCTAGGCTAATTCTCATTCCTTCTAGCCCAAGGTGGTCATCAGCCTAGAAGGATATCTTTCCAAAGTACTGTAGGTGCTGCAATTTACAAGGTAAACAGAATGGTTCCATTATTCCTTCTCTTTCCCTCCCTTTTCTCACCTTATCCCACCCTGCACCCTCCTGCTCTCACCCCTAGGGAAATTGATTAATCTCAGTTATTAGTGTATCAAACACAGGAGAGGAATACATGCCTGGGCCCTGCACATTCAGTCTTGGTAATGCCTGAATTAGATTCATTCTGTTTTACATTTTCCCTGGCAAATCCAATTACAGAATTATTCGGGGGCTCAAATGGCCACCAGCTACAATGGAACAGGCAATTGCCCTAGAGAGTAATTCACTGTGACGGGAAGGTTTACAAAAAGGCATTCATAAAGTATTTACACTGGTGGAAAGACATACTGTTCTCACCATGTTGTCAGAATCTCTGAAAAGACAAAGAAATAAAAGTGGCCGTGCCTCCCCCTTGCTGTGAAATGTTCATTTTGGGAGCAGAATTGAGAAAGATATGACTCCTTGTAATGTTGAGGTGGAATATTATTGAAAAAACCTGTGTAATCTCGTGTATTAGAGCTTGTCTCTAGTTATATGAGCTTATTGCGATGGAGCTCAGAGAAAAGACTGGCTTCTTAGCCTCAGAAGTGGACAGGGTTAGCTTAGGTTTGGCTGCTCAGGATTGTACAGTCTCGGGAACTGTTCTTTGCTCTTATTACACCTTTGAAAAGTGACTCCTTTAGCTTGGTTATAGTAGACTTCTTTAGAATTTTTCTTGCTTATCCAGAGTTCTCTTTGGTCCTATTTTGGCCCCAGCTTATCATCAATAATGAGTTTAATACAAATGACAATAACAGTAATAATAACAACAGTGTTGGTCATTTCAATTGAGCTCATGGAGGCTTATGGAAATTATGTGACTGAGGCTATGTGAATTATTAAGCTGTAGCCATAGTGGCAGGGCAAGATGGCGAAGTGAGTAGAGGCTCCCAGTTTTCTCCCCCAGCAATAACCCAATGAACAATGAATAAAAACAAGCACAAACTGAGATCCCAGAACTCTTGATAGCTCCTGAGTTGTTGGAGAGTCAGGGTGAGTCCCGAAGTAGGGAAGAGGAGGAGCAGAGACGGCCCAGAAGCTGAGAGAACCGGCTCATTAATGTTGGGAGCACTCGCTCATTGCAGCCATTTTTGGACAGGGCACAGAAAAGGAGCTAATCTGCTGTAGCCAGATTTTTTAAAGGTGGCACAGATTGGCCATGGGCATGCTCTGCCCTGTGTAATTGGGAAAGGGCTACGGAAGACTTTGGCATTGCAAGAGAGTGCTGTTGAATCTTGCTGAGGCCTCAGATGGACAAGTACTAGGACCAGGAGGAACCATAAGGGCAGCAGGGTGAGGGGAATACTTGAGACTGATGGGGTGGGCAACACAGAGGGAAGTGGCCCACCCTGGGACACCATGGTGCCCGTGAAAGACCTGGAGAGCCCCCCACCCGCCATTGCCTTGGGAAAGTTGAGCCCCACTGCTTAGGTCAACATCTGTGAACAGCTTTCCCCTTTCCCCCCACCCCCCATGAGTATGGAAATCCAGAGCTGATAGCGACCCCTCCTTGTGTTTCCAAGGCAGTATCACTGTGGAAGTAGATTGCCCAATCTTCCTTCTGAGGAGTAGCTGGTGGGTTTGAACCGTCAGCCTTCTGGTTAGCAGTTAAATGCCTTAGGCACTGTGCCACCAGAGCTCCTGGAGATCACCGGAACTCCTAAATCAGTACTGAAAAAAGCTGAAGGAAAGAGTGCCCTCTAATGGTTCTCAGGAGAAGATACCAAGACTGCTGCCAGTTGGTCAGTTCTGACTCTTAGAGACCCTGTAGGGCTGAGTGGAGCTGTTTGGTGAGGTTCCCAGGGTTGTGAATCTTTGTGGAGGCAGGCTGCTGTATCTTTATCCCACAGAGCAGTTGGTGGATGTGACCTCCAGTCTTTGGTGGGCATGTAGGCTCTTGGCTGCTGTCCTACCAGGGTGTCCAATCAGAAAATTTTCCCACAAAAATCAGAGTATAAAATTTAAAGTAAATAAAGATGACAAAATAGCCCAAGTGCAACAAAAAATAGTAAAAGCACAAACTCACAAGAAGAAGCACTAGTCAAAACAGGAAATTTCTCCTATCGAGGCCAGAATATTGTAAACAAAGAACTGATAATTTTCAGGCTCTGGTGCTAAATATGTGTGAAGTAAGCAAAAAGCAAAGAATACTGTGGAGATCAGGAAACAAATGGAGGAACATAACATAGTAAGTCAACATAGACAATGAAAACATTAAAAGAAAAAAACAAAACGGGAAAACCCAAAGAAAACTACTGGAACTGAAGAGTGAAACAACTCAATTGGAAAAAGCAGGAGAAACATTCAACAATAGAGTTGAACAGACAGGAGATAGAATAAATGAACTAGAAGACAAAATAACTGAACATATGAAGTCTCAAAACAAAACAAAACAAAACAAAACAAAAGAACAAAGAAAAGTCAACAAACCCAAAAGAGAATATGGGATTTGAATAAGAAATCTAACCCTGGAATTGTTAGAATCCCAGAACACAATGACAGCAATAAAGTCATAGAAACTATTTTCCAAGAAAGAATTTCCCAGATCCGAACAGAGAGCCAAACCTCCAAAGATAAGAAGGTACACATTATGTCCTAATAATGTTTTTTCTCGGAAGGAAGGTTGGGCAATCCTACTTCCGTAGTGATACTGCCTCGGAAACCCAAGGAGGGGTCGCTATGAGTCGGGTCTGACTCGACGGCACATAACAACAACAACAACAATGTTTTTTCAATTTTTTTCCCCTAATAAAATTATTAGAAACTAAAGACAAGAGAATTTTGTAAGCAGCAACAGAAAAACTAAGTGTAACATACCAAAGACTTTTGTAAGAATCAATGCAGATTTCTCCACTGAAACTAGAATCAGATACTCTAAAGGCCAGAAGACAATGGAATGACATATATAAAATACTAAAAGAAAACAGTCACCAACCAAGAATTTTTTACCCAGCAAAGATGTCATTCAAAAATGAGGGGGAAATGAAGATATTCCCAAATAAACAAAAGCTCTGGAAATTTGTCTCCATGAGGTCAGCTTTGCAAGTATTACTCAAGGGAGTACTCCAGATGGAAAGGCAAAAGCATTAAATAAATACTTGTAACTGTATATGGGGGAAAAAAATAAGAGAGAGATATCACCAAAAAACACAACACAGGCCATCATAAGACCAAGTTATGTGATATTTTCAGGGAATAAACTCAATAATTAACGCCTGCAAACAATACATCAAGTTTTCAAGAAATAAATACAAAGTAAACTTATGAATATAGGTTGTATATTGATGTTACTGGAAAAACACCAACAGACATGAAGGAGAGAACTGCATATCAGGGATATATTTATCATGTTAAGGTTGTATATAAACTGTAGTGTCTATGTTAAATGTTTTTGCAGT